TCTTAACTATCTGGTAAAAATCGTTTTGAAATAGTGGAAGATTCTCTTTAATTTATATTGTATAATTATATATATATATACATATATATATATATATATAAACATATATATATTGTATATATATACATATAATTGTTAGTGTAAACATGTTTTCCCGCTAAAGTTTGTCGAGTTTAAAAGAATTTTGTAAAAAAGGATTTCAGCCTTGAATGAGAGAGTGACGTTTGAAGCCTTTGTAGCCATTGTAGGTAATTACGTTGTTATTTTACGTTTAGGGTTCCTTAGCCGAAGGGTGCCAACGGAAACTTATAACTAAGCTTCCGCTGTCCATCCGTCCGTCTGTCTGTCAGAATTCTGTCAGAGCTGTATCTCATGAACCGTAATAGGTAGAGTGTTGATATTTTCACAGAGTATGTGTTTCTATTGCCGCTGGAACAACAAATAATAAAAATAAATAAATAAAAATACAAGAATCATTTTTGTAACGTCCGTAATCGATCATCGAAGTTAATATACGATTCAGGTACTGCAACCTTAATATCTGCCTGGACATTTTTAATGCGGTGCATAATTTTCCAGAATTAAATTAGATTATACCAGTATTTAAAGTAATATTATGATTTTTTTTATATTTTATCCCAAAAAAATACATGATTTTGGAAGGATTTTGTCTCCAACCTCACCAGGGGGAAGGGGGGAGTTACAAAGTTGCTAAAAACATCACGTGATTAATGGACGACCCTTACACACATAATTTCAATTTCAATGATTATAAAACTAATTGATACAAGGGTTTCTTTCTATTTTATTTGGAGACCCTACTTAGTTAATGAAAAGTAAAAAGGTCTAATTTAGCATCATAAAATGTAATTATAAAATCGCTTCGAAATTTTGTATCTGTGCTTGTAACTTTATATGACGTTCAGTTTAGGTCGCAGCCTTAACAAAATTTAAAACGGAAATCGATCGTTGATGCCTTTGCCTCGATGACGATCCTTACATAATTTCTTATTAGATTATAAGAATATGTTATTATATGAATATTATACATATAAATATCCCTACATAATTTCTTATTAGAATATAAATTTTATAAAGGTTTATACATTGTATAACTCTTTATAAAATTTATAACTTTTCCTAGTAATTTTAGGTTTCAAATACCTAATTGATATTGAAATTAGTCATATCGGATAATATAAACTAAGGCTTTATGGATTCATCTTAAAAGAGCACTACAAAACAATCAAAAGTTTCCAAACGTAACATTTTTTTTTGTGTACCTATCCTCATTTTCACCAGTTATCACCCATATTTACACATCGTAGCTGTAGCCTTCTCTAATTTATTTACATTTCTCCTAATCAATATTATTGTTAAGAGGTTAAAAGATTGTCCGGAACAATTTATAATTAAATTTCTTAAATAAGGTACTAATATATCGATGCTCAATCTTGTTTGCATCTTGCGAATAAATAAACAAGTTCGTACATTGAAATTGCTATCACCCATGGGCGCACCCAGGTAGGGGCAGGGGGGGGGGGGGGGGGTGTCAGCTGCCCCCCCCCGGTAGTATTTACTGTTTAATAAATTTCTGTTTTGCCAACCCCCCCCCCCCCTATCTATCATACTTTTTACACTTTAAAATATCTCGTCTCTGAGAAATCTATACTAAACGTTAAAACGTATCTAGGGACTAACCCGAGCGAAGTGAAGATGAGTCGCTAGTCTATATATAATATATAAATAAGTAAGACCTCTGTTTGTCAACCGATTTTTTTTAATTAAAAGCTTATTATAAAACACATACCGAGACTTAAGGCTTTAGTGTGGAAGTAAAATTAAAGCATCTGTTCATGATTACTTGAGATAAAGACGTTTCAACTCCTCGAGCTATTTTAAGATTATATAATTACTTGTTAACTGAAAAGGTACACCGATTTCAAACACACTTTACATATAATTATCCTATTCTTGTAGACCTGACATTTCTCTTGCGCAATTAAAGGGTCTGTTCATAATTTCTTTATATAAATACCTTATTAAACGAGTGAGGCTTAAGCGTAATTTTCGACAGTATAGCGACCTTTATACTTCATATCAAGGAAATGAATGCATCTAAAATACGTTTATAGGCATCATTCTGTGGGATCCCTTATAAAACTTCGAGATATTCCTTGCTTATATTCTTATATTCAGTACTTTTATAAACGTCTGTGAGTTACATAATTTATAATCATAATTTTCAGTATTACAAACAATTCGTGACTAGTCTATGTATACTACATGGTGGTATCGTACAGATATCTCTGTGCAAAAACGCGGGAAAACAAATGAATTTTCGCGCCCTTTATATTTTTTTTAAAACACATTCCTATTGGCCAAGGTCACATAAGTAAATGCCTTACACATAAATCATTACAAATTAATCAAATTTATTATTTTCTATTAAAACACTCAATATATAAAAATGCAACCTTACAATTCTAAAGGCTAGTTCATTAAAAGTCATTTCTTCGCTCCAGCGAAACGACATTATGGCGGCAACTAATGAACTCGACTAATTCGACAGGTTCGTAGTTGTTTAGCCGGTGAACCAGTGAGCTCGGACGCGTGGTGGGGGCTGCTACTCGCCCAAAAAAATAGAATAAAATGGATTGACTCGACTAAATTACTTACTAAACTAATCGACTAAATTTTGTGTGTTCAGACACGTTTAGTTACTAAATTACTCGCTACTAGACTAAAATACTAGCTTAATGCGAACTAGGCTTAAGAGTGAGTAAGAGTGAGAGTACTCAATTTTGGAATATGGATCGCGTACGATAGCTATATATATATATATATATATATATATATATATATATATATATATAACACAAATATACAATAAAGAATTTTGATTATCGCTTGTCCATCTACTTTGTACTATCTCCTCAAACAACTAACGAGACGAGCGGAACCTCGGCCTCGACATGATTTAAATAAAATATTATATATATTATAGTTTCAGAAATAAACTTGCCTCACGACGACGATAAAATTGTAACTAAGCCGAAAAATTTTTTTGGAAAATCTTATTGAAATATACATTATTATTGATTCAGAGGCCGAATTTAATTTAAAAGAATTTAAAAGAAACTTTTTAGAATTTTTGTCCGTCTGTCTGTCTGTCTGTTACCGCATCACGGAAAAACCACTGGAGGGATTTTGATGAAATTTGGTATGGTGATAGCTGGTTATCCGGGTCAACATATATGATACTTTTTACCGCGGGAAAATGTTTCATTTCTGAGAAAAAATACAAAAAGTGCAATGTAAGAATATACTAATATGTAAAACCTAAGAATTTGGTTTTTGGTCATCTGGACGCGGGTGGAGCCGCGGGCAATGCCAGTAGTTAATAAGACTTATCCTCATCTTCATTATAGATCGACTTTTATGATGGCATTAATGCTTATGAATCCATATAATATACATATATGTATAATATACATATATGATTTGACGACACGTTTGGCTTAGTTTACTTGCCATGCCAGCGACCAGCACCAGCTAGTTCCATAGTAAGCTACGAGGCTTGTGTTATGGATACCAGATAGTTGATACACTACATATATATATATATATATATATATACATATATATTATAAACACCCATGACTGGAGCACAAACATTCGTGCTCATCACACAAATGAATGCTCCCAGAGGGATTCGAACCCGCGAACGTGACAGCAAGTAGGGTCACTACAAACTGAGGTCTTGACTTGTCAACTGAGGGCTTAGGTCATAAGGGTTTTAATATGAAAATAAATAATTTGAAACATAGTAACATTGTTAGTTCGTAAAGTCAGCTAGTTTCCAGTAACGATGTATCGTTTGTTGCTATAATAAAGACGTAGGCGTTTCGACACATTCTATGTAGATAAAAATAGATTTCGATTAAAATGTAATGGTCTGGCTTGGTTTACCTACACTTATTGTTTTCGCTTTGCATCTATTTCTCTTAATTATTTTGTTTCACTTCAAGTTAGTTAGTAGTTACTAAAAAGTATAATCATTTCTTTCCTTGTTAGAATATAATAAAAATATAAAAGCTTTTATAGTTCAGTACTTTTGTTTTATAAAATTGATGATTATGATGTTCTCCTGACCGATTCCGGCCACGGCGGCCAATCTCATTGAGAATAGCCAACTGCGCAGGAGATATTATAGTGCACAAGTGTACGCGCAGATACAAGTGCTTTCTCTATTCCTGTCACTCTCATACTCCGGTGGGACGACCACTCAACACGACCAGTGAGAGTTAAGGCGCAAGACCGACGGCTTTACGTGCTCTCGGCATGAGGCACGAGGGTGAAACACCGCCAACTTCCCAACTCCGGGCTGTTACTGAGACTTACTATACAGAAAGACTCAATAACTAAACTTGGCCCAACCCGGGACTCGAACCCAGGACCTCTGAGTGTGCAGCCGTACATGCTAGCCACTACACCACCGAGGCAGTTTTATAAAATTAAAATAAATATAAAGCGCATATAACCAATGATAATTATTTGTATAATATTACTAGCGACTAGCCCTCGCTCCGCTCGGGTTCGTTCCTTTGTTTTAAGGTTAGAATAGATTTCTCAGAGATGAGATATTTTCCCGTAGTAAAAAGTATCCTATTTGTTGACCCGGAGAACCAGCTATCATCATACCAAATTTCATCAAATTCTGTTCAGTGGTTTTCTTGGGACGCGTTCCTAGACAGAGAGACAGACAGACAAAAATTCTAAAAATATAGGTTCGGTCTCTGTATCGATAATAATGACTATTTCAATAAGATTTTCCAAAAAAAAATGTACAAATTCGACTCGGTTAGAATTTTATTTTATGTACATGTAGATAAATAATAGTATTTTTAACCTTAGACGTTTAAGAAGTAGTGGAAAAAATGGGAAATTGGATAATATGCAGAATACAATTCATTAAAATATTTTTTTTTACTTAGATAATGGCGCTTTTAAAGGGCACTATGTCAGCTCTTTGGATTCTGTTCATCTTAACGATTTCGTCTGCTGAGTTATTTAATGAGACACCGATCGACAATTTGTATCAGGTAAGTTTGTAATGAATGGGATGTAAGTTTTTGTTATCTATCTGAAATGAATGTTGGTTCAATGCTGTCATAGGCACTTCAGGCTACTTCAACTTGATAGAAATATTGTAAATTATAATTGGACCCAGTTGTGCAAAAAACCGCAATGTGCGTAAAAGTACCGACAGAGTTATAAGCATTTTATTATAAAACATAAAATAATTATAAAAAATAAACAAACTTATATAAATATTGTTCAATTTTAAAATAACCAGAAAAACAAAACATAACCCAAGTGCATGTATCGACAAAAAATGCTTATAACTCTGTTGGTACTTTTTTACGCATATGGCTGTTTTTGCATAACTGGGTCCAATTTTACTTTAAAAAAAGATAACGTAATATTAGTCCCGCTGAGTTTCTTTCACCAATTCTTCTCAGGTCTGAGGCTTCTTCTTTCCGAACTGGTAATAGACTCATGACGTTCAGTAAAAAATTGTAACAATTTAATGCTGAATAAAATATTTTGAATTTGAACATATAGAGTGTATATGTAACAACTATCTTTAGAATCGATTTGCTTATAAAATATCCTCATAACTAGACTAGTTATTTCCGCAGGAGATTGTTTCTTATTGTGCTCTATAACATGCGAGGAAATGCATGTATATTCCATAGCATTTACTCTTAATTACCGGCTTGACGAGAATTCGATTAGATAGGATATCAGGCACAGGGCCGCCGAGTTTACTTGCTCTTTGAGGCACGGGGATGAAACACTGCTAACTTCTGAACTCCGGGCTGATACTGAAAAACTCTGAACAGAAAAACCTAATAACTATTTGTCCGATCCAGGATTCGAACCCAAGACCTTCAGATTTAGAGTACATGCTAGCTACTATTGATAAGACCAACGAGCAGTGGGCAGTGTACCCACTTGTTTACTGTCACCATCGATCAAAAAAGTACTAGATACACAATCCCATGCAAAAGTTCTCTTAAAACTATCATCAATTTTGTTTAGATAATTATTAATATACAATAATGTAAATTAAATCTTAAATGTAATAGCTAAAGTTGTTTACATAAAAAAATATTAAAAGAGCACTCAAATGTTCAAATTAGAGGTTTAGACTAATTAGAGATTCGGTGAGGACATTTTTTGTCACTGATTGTGTATCTAGTACTTTTTGATCGATGATTTGTACATTGTATGCAGCCTTTGTTTTAACGCCCCACTGCTGGGTGTAAGCCCTTCAATACGAGGGGGATCAGGCCATAGTCCACCACGCTGGCCAAGTGCGGGTTGGCGGACTTCACATGTCTTTGGAAAACTTTTTTTTACATTAAAACGACATATATAACGCGGTCAGAGCTGCGTGTAAAGATTAGTATAATATAAATTAATATAATAATTTAAATTAAGTAACATTTTGTACTGAATATAATTACTTTAATCAAGACTTATGTCATTTTAAGGGCTTCTTTGTGAAAGCTTTCCAATTATTTCATTTAGTTCTTATAATATTATCACTCGTCCCCTGCGGGCGGGAAATCATAAAATGTATTACAATATCATTTGTACCGTTCATATTCAAACTTCTTACAGAGTATGTACGTTTTTTTTTAATTTTACTTATTCATCGATTGTCACGGGTTCGATATGCCGAAATATATTTAGTTCTTAGTATTTATTTTGCCTTTATTAAGTACCAAGTTGATGTTCAACCTTTAACCTACAGAGAGTATTTTTCTAACGGCGCGGTAACAAAAATAAAGATTTTGTCAATACTTTGTACATATTAGTTTTGCCACCTACAAATATTATTCTATATGTGATTTGGAGGCTTAGACAAGATGTCATTACACAAATTATTGAAGAAAACTAAAAAAATATATGTAAATGACATACAGATATTATGATTCTATGTCATAATGATGGTTGTAATTCGACATAATCATTATAGAAAATTTGAGTAAAATATATACAAATAGAATGTACCTATCTATATGAAAAAACTAGCTGTTTCAATTTTTTTTATTGATAAATTTTTTATTGATAATAAGTTGAAATTTTTACTCTCCAACAATTAATTATTATAGAATTATGTTTTTCTATGCCTCCTGTGGGTACCTACTTATAATGAGGATACAGGATACCAAGATTGTAGCCCCTAGGCCCTAACAAAACATTTTATTCTATATATTAGTTTGTCCATTATTTAATAACTAGCGACTCTACCTCACTCCGCTCGTGTTTGTCCCTAGTTACATTTTGTACCTGTTTTCCCGCAGTAAAAAGTAGCTATCATCATACCAAATTTCATAAAAATCTGTCCACAGGTTTTCTCGTGACACGTTCCCAGACAGACAAAAATTCTAAAAACTATAGATTCGACCTCGTATCGATAATAATGGCTATTTGAAAAAGATTTTCCAAAAAGATATAAAATGTGCAGATTTGACTCAGAATTTTATTATATGTATAGATTTGTTATTTGTCTTACCAATTTAGGAAGAAAACGATTTAGGGGCAGAAGCTTCACCCCCGGACGAGCAGCTGGACGATGAATATTGGAGACGAAGTGAACTTCTCTACAAACTGATGAAATACTTGCAAAGAGATCCTGATATAAGGTGATTTTATATTTATACTAGCATTGCCCGCGGCTCCGCCCGCGTTCAGATCACCAAAAACCAAATTCTTAGGTTTTACATATTAGTATACTCTTACATTGCAGTTTTTGTATTTTTTCTCAGAAATGAGATATTTTCCCGCGGTAATAGTATCCTATATGTTGACCCGGCTAACCAGCTATCACCATACCAAATTTTATCAAAATCCCTCCATTGGTTTTTCTGTGATGCGGTAACAGACAGACAGACAGACAAAAATTCTAAAAACTATAGATTCGGCCTCTGTATCGATAATTAAGTCTATTTCAATAAGATTTTCCAAAAAATATTTAATGTACAGCTTCGACTTAGTTACAATTTTATATATGTATAGATATATATTTATTTTATATATCTTAACGTTTTTTTATAATCATAAAAATATTTTAGGGTAAAAACTTTGCTTATATAAAAAAAACTACTTCCATATACTAAAAAGTAAAAACTTGAATGTTCATGAATGGTTATTTATGGGCTAGTAAAGATTTCTCAGACATGAGATATATTCCCGCGGTAAAAAGTATCGTATATGTCGATCCGGATAACCAGCTTATTACCAAACCAGATTTCATCAAAATTTATCCAGTGGTTTTCTCGTGATGTGTTCCCAGACAGACAGACAGACAGACGGACAAAAATTATAAAAACTACAGATAGTTAATTCGACAGAGTACAGATTCGACTCAGAATTTTATTATATGTTTAGTTTTAATCGGTTGAATACATTTAAAGAGGCGGCTTTAGTTCTTTAAACAAGGCTTTTTCATGTAAATCTTAGGTAATTTTTTGTGTCTGTAGACTCGCCCAAACGAGAACGGGAACAGAGCAATAGCTGATATATACGAGTATACTATATACTTATTTTATGTTTTACTAATTTACTACTTACTGCATTAGAGGACGAACTTCTTGAGCGTTCATCGTAAATTTCAATCTGAAGACCTTATATACATAGATCCCTATAATCATGTACGAAGAAAATGATTACTAAAAGCAACAGATATATGGAATTTTAGACATTTTAAAGAATTTTATTTAAGACGTATTACGTCTTATTGTGGCATTCTAGATTTCATAGACGACACGTTTAGCTCAGTTTGTAGTGATCCTTGCTGTGTCAGCGGTTGCGGGTTCGAATCCCGCTGGGGACATTCATTTGTGTGATGAGCACGAATGTTTGTACTCCAGTCATGGGTGTTTATATTTATTATATGTATGTATTTAAAGTTATATATGTGTAGTGTATCCATAACACAAGCCTCGTAGCTTACCATGGAACTAGATGGTGCTGTGTGGTTACGTCCCAATATATTTATTTATTCTATTTCCTCTGACTATTTTACATGTATTTCAACAAAACTTTATTTTATTAGGTTGATTGATTGATACTAATTGGATAAATATTTGAATGTAACTACTGTACATCTAGATATCAAGGAGTCGATAATATGGATGAGGCCAGACCGACGTGGTCACAGATACCAGGTGTCAAGGAACCAGGAGTCAAGAGATGGCTGAGTGTCTTCAACAGTAGTGCAGCTAAGACCCGACCGCAACGCAAGTGGAAGATCAAGAAGGGAAGAGGTATGAAATTTAGTATATGAAGGTGATAGAGCCAATCTAGAGTTAGCTATAATAGGCCGTCTTTACTGGTGAAATTTTTTCCTACTACATAACAATAAAGTAGATATATATATGTAATATGTATGTATGTAAACATGTATGTATGTATCTATGTACGTATGTATGTATGTTTGTAGTTTGTACCTACACCGCACCGCATTATTATTTTTATATTTTCTCACGCTTGAGGGTTTTTGGTAGAGATCTCTTAAAGAGATAAGTCATCCTTTGTACACATGGTATCTGTTTTGACTTGTATGTTTTTTTCTGGTACATAAATAAATAAATAAAGTTATTTAGCATTGCATAATGTAATAATGATATAAAGGGCTGAATGCCCTTGTTATCGGCCCATTGCTGGGTGTGGGTCTCCCTTTAATGTGACAAAGGATTCGGGACATTGTCGACTACGCTGCCTTAGAGCAGGTTGCATTGTCTGTCTCTCGCACATGCAGGTTTTCAGTGTTTTCTTTTATTTTAAGGCAAATGTCATTCATGATCAGAATGATTCGCACCAAAACGTCAGGTGCAGGTTTGAACCTGCTTACTTATTTTTCCAAGCAAACTCGTTACTACTGGGCTACTACTGGATTTACATAGTATATATTGCACTTAGATACTTACTATTGGGTCACGAGAGATTGTAAATAAGTTGTATTATAATTGCCGTTATAACTCACTTCGAGTGCATATAAAATACTTTATTAGTCTTTAAAATAACAAATTAAACTATAAAAAAATTTGATAAACTTTTTGTTTGTTGCAGGTCCTCAACTGTGTTACTTCAAATTATGCTCATTCCGCACATTTAACTAAATGTGGAAATTATAAATAGCAACAAAATTGATAAATAAAACGTTTGAATGTTACCTCGCAAATATAGGTTTTATCTTACTTGTAGTTTAAGGGCCTTGAAAGGGTCAACACTGATGTAATTTTGTTGCTTTAGGCTCAATCGTTGCCAGAGCCACGGTAATGTAATGCATACAGTACTCCAACTCGGGCCTGTCCTAGAAATAATTACCTACAGCCGAGCGGCACGTACCCACGCGACAGGGTTGCCTGAGTGCCCGCCGGCCAGTATTTTAATTTTATCTACCTACTTGAGTTTCTTTCTAGTTTTGTGATTTCAAATATTATATATTTTATTTAAAAAATATTATTAGTAGATTTCATTAAAAAATCTCAAATTTATAAGAGTGGTATGTGACCTTTATAAATTTGAGATTTAAAAATATCTGCGTCTCGAGTGAGACGTACGAAAAGTTTATTGTTAAATTTAATAGTATAAATATATAATCCGCATTCGGATAAAAAGTTTAATTAAAAATACTTTAATTTTTATTTTTAATTAATTAATTTATATTTTTAAAACATACGATGTCTCGATACTGTTTTGTTTGACATTAGCGAAGTTACGGGAGGAATAATTTTTTTATTTTTGTATCAAAATTATAAAAGTTACATAACATAACCACCTTATACAATTTTCGTATCAAATTATACGATGTGGCAGCCCCGCACGGTTGTCTACCGAGTGTATACCGAACGCGACGCGCGTAGGTATAACTCGATTTCCGACCGTTTGTATGAAGATGGAATACTGTATGTAATATTACCGTGCCATACTGTATGTAATATGATCGTCAAAGATATGTTTGACATTTAATAGCTTTTATGTTTACGAAACACCATTTTGTTTATTACGTCCACTTGCATTTTAATTTATACTAACGGTTTCCTTGACTTTTCTTTACTTTCTCTAATATAATATACTATAACTAGCGGACCCGACAGACGTTGTCCTGTCTACACGTCTTTAATTTGAAAATTTCAAACTTTTTTTAATAATTTTTTTGATGAAAATTATTATTCAAATTGTGAATCTAAACCATTCCCAGATCCCCTTGAACACACACAAAAAATTTCAACAAAATCGGTCCAGTCATTTGAGAGAAGTTCAGTGACATACACACTCACAGAAGAATTATATATATAAAGATATGTACCTACAACTATGTACTATATACGTAGTTATTCATATAAACCTTACGAAAGAAATGGAAAATTACTATAATGAAAATCGTATCAAGATCCGGCGCGTAATTCAGAAGATTTGAAAGCACAAACAGACAGACTTGTTATTAAAATGAATTACAGGAAAATATTGTTTTATAAGTAAAATTATTTTTTAAGTATTTGAAGATAAAGACTTTTTGGAGGCCCTTTCTCATCATAAAGAATCTCCTTGGTTTATATACTCGTAGTATACTAATATAGCTTTGAAATTGTATCTTATATGAGCAGAATATACCTATAGATTAGAATGCGTTTGCATTAAATGGATGCTACTTATTAATATGTACCTGTATTTTGTATAATGGTAATAAATTATTGAGCAAGTATAATTTAGTTTGATTTTGAAACCTATTTTAGCTGGTGTTGTTTTGATACTTATTTTATTGTATTGTATTATACGTGTTATGTTTTTTTTTTCAATACTCCTTATTGATTTACAATAAGGATATGATGTTCTCCTAGCCGATTCCGGCTACGGCGGCCAGTCTCATTGAGACTAGCCAACTGCGCAGGAGGTGTTATAGTGCACAAGTGTACACGCAGACACAACGTGCACTCTCTATTCCTGTCACTCTCATACTCTGGTGGGACGACACCAGACCTCGCTTCGCTCGGGTTTGTCCCTAGCTTGTTTCCCCATACAAACTTTCATCCCCATTCTCAGCCCCTTAAGGGATGATTTCTGGGATAAAAACTATTTCACTCACTCAAAAAATGAGATTTAAAAAAAAATCTTATTTTAGTAAAAAAAAATCTTTTAATTTTCTTCTATACAAAACTTGTCCTGAGTTGATCGAGTCGATCGGAAGTTATGCGCGTACATAAATATAAATTTAAATTCAATGACCAAAAACCAAATTCTTAGGTTGTACAACATATTTGTATACTCTTACATTGCAGTTTTTGTATTTTTTCTCCTAAATGAGATATTTTCCCGCGGTAAAAAGTATGCTATGTGTTGACCCGGATAACCAGCTACCATCATACCAAATGTCTTCAAAATCCCTCCAGTGGTTTTTCCGTGATACTGTAACAGACAGACAGACATACAAAAATCCTAAAAACTATAGATTCGGCCTCTGTATCGATAATAATGTCTATTTCAATAAGATTTTCCAAAAAATATTTAATGTACTGATTCGGCTTAGTTACAATTTTATTATATGTATAGATAAGATGTATAGAGTACATTCGTATAGAGTTATAGAGCAAAATGAAATGGAATAATTGAGATGAAGACGTCTTTGTTTACGTAATATTTAAATCATATAAGAACAGATTATGATACAAAATATAATCGTATTATATAATAAAAAATGTTACAAATATACTTAATTATATATACAAAACATATGTACACTTAGTTATTACTGTACAAGTCATGTCCGCGTGGAGTAGTGGCAAGAATGCTAGCCGCATTCCCCCACTGAATGGCAATGCCGACTCTTTGGGCCACCAAATACCACTTACATACACCACGATCAGTAGAGGTGATAAGACGAGGTGCTATGTCTTTTAAGAAGTGCTTAGCACTGTGACTCCACGGGGCAAGGGTTTCTACAGCAAATGGAATAAAAAGATAATTTTGACTAAGGGAGACGTATTTACGTAACTTAAGTAGTTCAGTCAACTCTTCCGCTGCTGCTCCTTTAACCGTCTCCCCGACATGGGACGGGGCAACGCATGTCCGGGATTTTGAACTGACATGAAATGTGTCAAGGCATGTAGTTTAGAGTCCCACAATAGGGCCCGTCCCCTTTCCCAAAATACCAGCGATCAATATAATTAATTATAATTGATCGCAAAAACAATCTATTATTTCATAGTAAAAATTTCTCAAAAAATACTTTATAAATAGCTCTATGATTTTATATATTTTTTTAATGATGATATTATAATTATTTTTAACAAAAAATGTACTGATTTATATCGTAATATCAAAATCACTTAAAAATGAATATTTTATTCATTTTGTAATTTGTAACTTGTAAAAAATAGCCCCAAAAACTTTCAATAGTCTCGCAGTGAAATGTCTGTGACGGACGGACATTATTTATATTTTTTTTATATATCATTATTTATTAATAAATATTTATTTTTTATTAACGTCATATTTTTTTACCTGGAACCCACAACATAAAAAAAAATATATTATTAAAATTCATATTATTTAACGTTTACAAGAAAAATATAATGAAAAATAAGGTATTTTTTCTATGTTATACGAATTTTATTTACTACATCCGTTGCACGATTCTTAATTACATTTTTAATTATAATATTACACTTGACCGACCATTTATTTGAACTAGATAAGAATAATGTTTATATGAAAATAATTAAATTATTTATAACATAATAATTTGAGGAAGTTTATACTATTTAGACGTTCCATGGATATGCATATTATCGTTATCGTTAACATTGAATATATCAAGGTTTTAAATAAAACTATCCTTTCGGATTATTTCGCGGATTTATTTTGATTTTTGGTTCCCGACGTATCGAATGCTTTACAGCAATCATGGTCACGGGAGAGACTCAGGGTTTAGACGTGTCAAAGGGGTTATTATATAACTATACTTGGTACAGACAAACTTGTCTATGCGAAATAATCCAAAAAGATAGTTTTATTTAAAATGTCAAATATTCGCGTAAATCTAAAATTTATTATATCACGGTTTCTTTACATAGTTTTTTTGTATGCTTGCGAATAGTAATAGAGTGCTGCGTCGTCATTATTTTCAAACAAATGCTGACTTTGTAAATACGATGATGTTATACATATTATAAAAAAATTCGCCGCGTCTGTCTGTCTGTTTGTCCGAACGCGATAATCTCAAAAACTATCAAACAGATTTTCATACGCTTTTTACCTATGGACGGAGTGATTCATGAGGAAGGTTTAGGTGTAAAATTCATTAAGGTACTGTGATAATTTCTCTGAAATACGACGATGATTGCCGTCTGGGAACTTTACCGGCGTGCTTCGAGTAAACCAATAGAGTTATATGAAAACAATTAAGGTTTTAATTACGGAATTGGTACCCGAGCAAAGCGAGATTAAGTTGCTAGTATTGTTGTTGTTTTTTTTTTTTTTTTTTTTTTTTTAACGTTGGAAAATGCATTTACGCACGAAGTGTGGGACTCACCGGCGAAGCCACTACTACCCACTAAAACCCAACAAAACCTTCCCCCGTCTTAATGGGGCGTCGCAGGATCGCTTACGCATTCAACTACGACGCCCCGACGGTCAGGTCTGCCGAAGCAGACCACAAAAACCATGGGGTTGCTCCACGGTCCACTCTGCTATCAGAGAAGTACCAGGAGCAACCCGCATGGTACACCGCCCTCCGAAGAAGGCCGCCTCCCACCGCCCACCGAAGCGGGCCACCACCCTGTGCGTTTCTTGGCTTCGCGAGTACGCTACTGAGCCCCCCCACCACGACAAGGTGAACGCACGTTGGGGGGGAGCTTGGGACGAAGCTGAGCGAAGCGAGGGTGAGTCGCTAGTATATACATAAATGCAAAAGCAATAATAGTAAGGTAAGATTTTATACAATACTCTATAAATTACAATTACTTTCTTCAATTTGCTTACTTTGGCGGAGGTAGCCGGTTCGATTTCGATGCGAATAACACAAGAATAACACTAGTTAAATTCAATCAAAGTATAAATAAATTTTTTTTAACAAATAGGTAAAAAAATAAATAAAATGTAGTCGGTAACTAAGATATGTTTCAGTAATGTGCAATCTCGCAGAAATTAGTGAGTTCACCGTCACTAATGTGGACGAATTAGAACAAAATAAACGCGACATAATCGGATATTACATGTGCGTAATATAAATATATTATCTAAGTAATATAGAAAATAAACAAACTAAATTGTGATATAAGAATGTCTTGGTCTATGGCGCTTTCGACATGGGGTAAGTGACTTATTAATAATACCACATATCCAACTCCTTCAAGTACGAACGCAAAGTGCAAACACAGTGCACTCTCTATTCCTGTCGCTCTAATGACATGCCGGTGGGCTGATATCGACAACTGGTGACAGTTGAGACTGGTTGAATCACCGCTAACATCACCTTCAGGTTTTTACCGATAATTTCACTCAATAAATAAATTCAGCTCGACTCGGAATTCGAACGCACGACTTCCTGATCTGCAACCGAAACATGCTAGCCACCAGACCACTAAGGCAGATAAATATGATTTAAATTTACTTCATAATCATTGAGCGTGATATACGCTCCATATGGAAACAAAAACTTGGAACTTAACACATATCTTTGCCTTTTGAGATCGCTATTGAGATTAAGATGGCGTATAAAATAATTATTTGTTAATAAAAAATATATTATAAAAATAAAAAACCTGACTTTATAAAAGATAACTAAAAGGGTAAATACAAGTTCACGAAGGTATATAATATTTTGGCTTTATAAGGTATATAGTATTATACAATAGGCCATTTTAATTTTTTCCAAATTTTATGCTTTCTTTCACATTCGCGCCGTCATGACGAGTCAAACGACGTGTCATTTATCAAAATCGGTCCACGAGTTTGGTCTAAATAGTGCCACAAAGGTACAAACCCACAAATATATATAGGCATTATACACATTACCCTCTTTTGCGTCGCGCAGTCGGGTAAAAAGATATGCCTTCTAAATCCCGTAAATTCTGTCTCTCAGAAATTCACGTGAGAGTTAGAATATAAAAGTAAAAGAAAAAATACAAGAAGAATCTGTTGACACACACATACAAAATACACATAAATAAAATTTACTTTTTTTGTAGTCGTTCAATAAAAAAAACCGTTGAAATTTGTTCAGTTTTGCTCGAGTTATTCGTGAAATACCTAGATAAACAATGTTAAATATCAAAACTTATTATTTACCTATTTTCTTGGATTTACAAATGTAAATAATTTAATTCGCGTTTTATTTTTTGCAATAATTGCCAAGCGGAGGCAAACCATTTTTTTATCTATTTATGAAACTCATATAAAACTAGAAAACACATTTCGGTCAAAAAACTGAAAAAAAAGATTTTTCTTAAGATTTTTTATAATATGACGACAAAAAAAGAGGCATTTATAGGTTTCGCACACATGTGCTATCGAGGGTCGGCGCGGTCTTGGGTATAAGTATAAATTGATTGAGCTAGGCTAGCTATGCTAGTGCGAAGGGCCAGCAGGGTTCTCGCGAAAGGGCCGACATGTATAAACTACAAACAAAACATATAAACGTTTAGTACGTAAAAATGAACCGAATAATTCGGCTGAATGTTCGGTTCGGTACATTTTGAACCGAATATTCGGTTGAATTCATATACGGCACATCCCTAATCTATACTAAAATTATAAATGTGAAAGTTTGTATGTATGGATGTCTGGATGTATAGATGTATGGATCTTTGTAACTCTTTTACGCAAAAATTACTGAACGGATTTTAATGAAACTATACAGTAATATAGCTAATACATCAGAATAATACAAAGGCTACTTTTTATCCCGGAAAAAGGAACGGTTCCCGGGATAGATTTATTTTTGCTTTCTAGAGGCAAACCCAAGCGAAGCAAAGGTGAGCTAGTAAGTAATGACACAAACATTACGTTTAGTTACCCTACCACTGTAACATTATGCAAAAAACTCCGAATATATGTATATTAAGTTGTTTTTTTAATTTTGATTTGAGCTCATTTATTAAACATTGAAAATATTTAAATACGACGTAGAACATTATTTTCAAAGTTTACTGAATTCTTTTCAAGGTTTATTAAAACGTGCGAGTTGTTCTCAGTCAGTCTGTTGAAGTTATGATGGACACAGTGTCGTGCTATTGAAACCTGTTAAATATGGGTTTTGCTACGCATAGTGTTATAGTTATTTTAATCATTTTAACTATTTATATGTCTTTGGACGAAGGAGTACTCGTTAAAAGGACTTTAAATTTCACTGAGATAGGGAAAAAACTTGGGTTCACTGTGCAGCAATTTGACGTAGTTACACAAGATGGATATATTTTGAAGCTTTTCCACATACCCGGTAATAGAAACAAACCAGTTCTGCTGATGCACGGAATTATTGACTCCTCTGACACTTTCATTATAAGAGAAAAGTCCTCTTTAGCTATAGCTTTGGCTAATTCTGGTTACGATGTTTGGCTCGGCAACAATCGAGGGAACAGGTATTCCCGACACCATGTCTACTTAAATCCTGATCGTGATGACAAATTTTGGGACTTCAGCTTCCACGAACTTGGCTATTACGACCTGCCTGCTATAATAGACTTTATTCTCAATAAAACTGGGCAAAAAAAATTAACTGCGATTGGACATTCGCAAGGCAACGCGATATTCCTAGTGCTCGGCGCGACACGACCTGAATATAATGATAAGATCAAATTATTAATATCGTTATCTCCCGTATGTTTTTTAAATAATTTGATGGATGCGCCATATTTGCTTTTGAAATCAGTACCCACTTTGAGCAATGTTATGACGTTATTAGGCCAAGAGGAATTCATGGGTGATAATACTACTTTTATTCGTGTGTTCAGGGAAATTTGTGGTACTGAGAACAGTTACTCTTTATGTGCTCATGGTATTTTATTTCCTATGGCTGGGAGCGATCCAGAAGAGTTGGAGCCCGAGTTCTTGCCGACCATAATCGCACATTACCCAACTGGTACATCCAAGAAAAACGCTATTCACTTATCACAAGTTGGTATTCAGGGATTGTTCTCCGAATTCGATTATAATTGGCGAAATATGGACATTTATAACTCAACAATGCCTCCAGAGTATAATTTGAGCAAGGTGACTATGAGAGTCGCTTTAGTAGCTGGCAGAAACGACAAATTGTCTACATTAAAAGATGTAGATTTATTAAATAGGAAATTACCGAATGTTGTAGAATATTTGATTATAAAGCGTAGGAAGTTTAGCCACTTGGATGCAGTCTGGGGAAGAAATATGGATAAATATCTTTTTCCCCATATATTCAAAATCCTAGCAAAATACAGCTAATGTAACAAAATGTATGCTATTTGTAATAAAGTGTAATCTTTGCTTAATAAATCATAAATTAAAAATTTTACGCACGGCGGAAAATTGTGACATGAAAGACTTCAAATAAAAAAAACTCAAAGACCCATGACATTAATACTAACGAATCACCCTCGCGCTCGGGTTTGTCCCTAGTTTGCTTCCTAATACAAACTTAAATTAGGTAAGAAGATAATTTGAGACCCTGGGAAGGATATAGGATAGTTTTTATCCCGGAAATCATCCCTTAAGGAGGTGAAAATGGGTATAAAATTTTGTATGGGGAATCAACCTAGGGAAGAACCCGAATGAAGCGAGGGTGAGTTGTTGAACAATCAGATTACGCTAGTTGTCAATATGGAAGTAGATATCCCTTATCCATACTAATATTGTAAATGTGAAAGTGTGTTTGTTTATTTGTTTGTTTGTTTGTCCTTCTTTCACGTCGAAACGGAGTGACGGATCGGCGTGATTTTTTGTGTGGAGATATTTGGAGTGCTTGACAGTGACATAGGCTACTTTTTTCCTCAGAAAATTATCTAATTCCCACGGAAAAACACGTTATAATACCATGTAAAAAATATTTATGATCATAATTACTTGAAACTTGGTATTAATGCTTTTCAATAAAATTAAATAAATACGTGTTTAAGTATTTTTAAAATAGGCGACGAAAGTTTGTATGAAACTATCTTTTTAGATTTTGCTAGTTATATATATAAATGAAAAAACTGATTGTAATGACAAAATATTTGTGTCTTAACGCACAAAACTATGCACAATTTATTTATTAGTGACATTTATGTGATACTTAGTGATAGATAATGATGTTAATAATTTTAATAAATGTTTTTAACTTTATAGTAGTTTTAATGAATAAAAATTTATTAACAATTTTTATTATTGTAACCGTATGTGTGTGTATCAATTAAATGCGATAATATATGCTATGTCCAAAAATATATACATATACTTTGTATTCAGCCCTTTTAAACGTCCCACAGCCACTGCTGGGCACGCTCCTCCCTTCGAGAGGAGGGGGGCAGGCCATAGACCACCGTGCTGGCCCAGTGCGGGTTGATGGAATTCACATGTCTTTCGAAAACTTGCTAGGGTTTTCCAGTCATTTAGGTTTTCTAACGATGTTTTCTTTCACCGAAAAACAAGTGGTCATCATGTTGGGAATCATTCGCACAAGAAAATATCAGAGAGGCGTGACCCAGGATTTGAACCCACTTCACTCGGTTTCCCAAGCGACCGCGTTACCATTGGGTTAGTCTCTACATATAATAAAATTGTAACTAAGCCGAATCTGTACATTAAATATTTTTTGGAAAATCTTATTGAAATAGACATTATTATCGATAGAGAGGCCGAATCAATAGTTTTTAGAATTTTTGTCTGTCTAAAAACAAATTAAGCGGCCTTAAGGGTGAAGGTCATGGTTCAGGAATTGTAGCGTAGGAGTTAAAGGTTTCCAATTAAGCAGACATACATGTATATGTATGTACATTAAAAAAGCTGGCAGCTGGCTTAGTTGCATAACAAAGCAGATTTAAATCCAGCCCTTAATATTTACTCCATTATCATCATTTTCAGCCTGCTTCCGTCGTAAATTATATTTGTGAGTATTTTTTGTATATTGGCATCAAGAGAGACCGTTATAAGACTAAAGAATAAAAAATAAATAAATAAATTTGTAAAACTTCTTTAATTATATAATACTAGCATTGCCCGCGGCTCTACCCGCGTTCAGATGACCAAAAACCAATTTTTTCTCAAAATTGAGATATTTTCACGTAGTAAAAGTATCCTATATGTTGACCCGGATAACCAGCCATCACCATACCAAATTTCATCAAAATCCCTCCAGTGGTTTTTCTGTGATGCGGTAACAGACAGACAGACAAAAATTCTAAAAACTATAGATTCGGCCTCTGTATCGACAATAATTTTTATTTCAATAAGATTTTCCAAAAAATAATTAATGTACAGATTCGGCTTAGTTACAATTTTATTATATGTATAGTTTAATATTATGTAATACTTTAATACTACTATTGCCCCAGTTGCTAGGACTGTTGAATTTTCTCTTATTTCTCATCCGAATCCTCTAACCCTAAGTAAAAGTCTTTTCAAAATAGGTTCAGCCATTCCGTAGATTGATGGGTGCAAACAATTCTGGAAACATTAACTTATTAACAGTTCTCCCATTCTCATATCACGATTAATATTTGCAAATTGCACGCCTAATAAAAATACTGACTTAACTAAAAAAAACTAGATAAATCAAGAAAAATGTTCTTGCAATAACGACATTTTTGTTTATTCTTTAACAGAATAAAAAGTTTACAAAGTAAATTAATATATTTTAATTATTCCAGATACTTTTTGTTATGTGGAATTATTTTGACGTAATAAATAAATATGTTGGGACATTAACACATAGCACCGTCTAGTTCCATGGTAAGCTACGAGCTTGTGTTATGGATACCAGATAGTTGACACACTACACATAATTATAACTTTAAGTACATACACATTATAAATATAAATTATAAACACCCATGACTGGAGTACAAACATTCGTGCTTATCACACAAATGAATGCCCCCAGCGGGACTCGAACCCACGACCGCTGGCACAGCAAGTAGGGTCACCACCAACTGAGCCAAACGTGTCGTCATAACTCAATTATAACCTAAGTTGTAATTGGACAGATTTTTATTATGCGTGCGAAATATGAAAATACCTAGTATCTATAATTTTACCAAAGTCTCGTTGCCTATTATTGTTATTTTTTGCCTTTTTAGGGCTAAAATGCTAAGCCAGCCGAGAAATTTTTTCATTACAAAGACGGGAAATGGGCACCTTTGTCCCAGCTATTTAAATGTGTACGAAATTTCTCTCAGTATAAGGAAATTACAAGATAAAGCTTAATTTTAGTTCGACTTTTCCCCAAAATTCAGGTCACAATTTAGATATCACGATCAACTAAATTAAAAGCATGCAATAAGTTAGCCTGCGTGCTTGCTAATAGAAGTGGGCAATAAAAAAGAAAATTACTCAGTAAATGAAAACTACCAATCAGTTATTTTTTACTTTTTAGTGCTTCTGTTTGAAGTTTTTCCCTTTTTAGTGTAGACAGTAGTAGCAAAGTAAGGATTCTAACGTGTTAGGCTTGTCAAATCAAACAAAATAAGCCCAAACTCAAAGTATCTACTATTAGCCGTTGAAGAGTTCCACCTATCCACCTTCTGGCCTTACCATCAGATCAGGTCAACAATACCGAACTACTGTACTATCAACGGAAATAGAAACACTTGCAAAGTTTCAAGTCAATATGACAATTAGAAGTAGGTTAAATTCATCGTTAGCTATTTTTACACCCTTAGGGGTGGTATTTTGTTTTGAAATTTAAATGGGACCTATCTGGAAGTATACCCTTTCAAACAAAACAAAAATTGTCCAAATCGGTTTATAAATGACGAAGTTCTGATGTAACAAACATAAAAAAAAAATACAGTCGAATTGAGAACCTCCTCCTTTTTGAAGTCGGTTGAAAAGGTATACATGTACCATGGACGAATTAGAGACTGGACCTGACATAAAATACAAATGTATGAAAACTAGTTCAACCAAGTGACGCATAACGCACACAAAGATTTTATTACATTATTATAAACACTGATACACAATACAATATTTCTAGTGCTTGAACGTAATCGATAAAATACATATATCGATGAACCAATGAAAGACATTTTAGACATTGGTTAGCATAGACATTATATTTTACATCTTTTAATTTAAAATATCTGTATTTATTATAATACATTAAAATAAATGAATTAAAGAGGCAGCAATAATGTGTCAAATAATAATCATTTTTTAATTTGATTTATATAAATACGATGGCATTGATGGCAATATTCTGTTGGCCTATAATAATGTTAATAAACAAATGAATATCGGGTGTATATTCCATTAATATATAATAAATATTATTTTTTAAAGATTAAAAAAATATTAAGCTAATTTAATTAAATAAAGTGATTTTGTTGATTCTGTTATTGAACTATTTTAATTGGCAATTGATTGTCTCGGGTAGTTATAAAAATGTGACTGTCCTAATATTGCTCAGTTATTAATAAACATTTATGAAATTAGGAAAAAGAAAAAGTGATTGCAAATTGTGAAAAAGTGAGTGTTGGATCGTGAAAGTAAAATAATTAGTGCAAGTGGTAAAGTGTTTTATTACAAATCGCCAACCCAGAAGTTTAGTGTTAGTTTAGTTTATTATTGTTTGATTTTGTGTAATTTATGTGTTGAAATAAAATAATCTTTATTATTATTACAATGGAATAATATTCCAAAGTATATAAATGTGGTATAAAATAAAATAAAAAATTAAGTACACATACTAATTATAATTTTTGCATTTATATTTTTATTTGATTTAGAAAATATTTTTATAAATTTATTGTCATCAGATTGTAGGATACTGTGATAAAAGTATTTTATGTTATTGTACTGTACAAATAACACAATTCGTTCAGTTATTTCGTCAAATATCGATATATTTTTCGACATTGTCAAGCACTAGTCGATGTCAAATGGACTCACTCGACAGTTTTGTCATTTGTTCTGAATGGTATAATCCAGCCCGTTTATGATGGTTGTCAGATGTCAACAATACATAGAAATATCGACTATATTTAACATAGTTGGATAATATGACATTTTATTTTACATTTAATTAAATTTTGTGATAAATAACAATAAATGTAATAAAACAATGTATTTACAAGTGAAAAAAAATAGTGCTGCTTCCGCCGCTATAATTTTTACACCATTTAACAGAACATTTAGTCATTTTTGGGAGATGTTTTGTTGACAAGTAAGTGCTTGAGACTGACACAAAAAACAAGCGACTCAGGCTAAAATTCCCTGGTTACTGACATGACCGTTAAAGGTAC